TTTTTCATGCATTGCTTAAACCTGGATTGGTGGCGTCTACATATGTTGTTAAAATAGTTGCAGTTTTCTTAATAATCATCGGAAAATTGAAAGGAAATTATATGTATGTAGCTGAGATGATTTCCCAGCTGGTAGATAAGCAATTGAAAGCAATTCCACTTCGAAACTAAATGTATGAAAATTATTCTTGCAAGAGTTAATTAACATGAAAGTCTATGTGAATTTCACTATTGATGACTCACTTATGGCCAACTACTGTAGATCCACAACCTAAAGAGCTAATCGCACAGCTGTATGATTTTATGTTCACTCAGTGGGTGAAATTGACCTTTTACTTTTAGGCACAGTTCAAAAGGCAAAACCCCAAACATTTTCATTCTGACTTCTTGATATTCAGGGTATCAGACTGACTTTTTGCACTAGATATATTGTTTTCTTATTTTAAATAAATATCTACCAACTAATAGATAAATAAAACCCCCAAAACAGTCAATAACCATTACCACTTCCTCAGGAACTAAATCTGTAAGACTTGAATTCAGTAAAATTACTGAGAGACAATGTAGAGATAGCATGTAACACACATAACGGTTTTATCACCCACACTGCATACTCTTTGACCATGGCAATACTCATTGACACATTTGCTCAAATAATGAGCTGGATATGTTGAGAAGATCATAGAAGTTTATAGGTTTCATAATGGCACCTCCACTGTTGCTCTTGCTGTTTCTGGGATAGCCGAACTACATTTTTATATCAGCTACATTTCCTAAAATTGTCTGCATGAAATATGCATTTACTTCTGGACTTCCACATGTTTCCAGTTTACTTTATTTATATCAAGAGTTCCTAACTTTCAAACATATAGCTTTTGCAGGTACTTCCTAGTTTTGGAACCCTGCTTGCCTTTGTTTATGTACAGTGTATCCTCCTCCACTGTCTATATCAGAGTGAAATATCAAAAGTGTATAGTGATGAAATGTATATGTTGCACCATTTTCATGCTAATAATAATAATTATCTCCATATGAGTACAAAGATTGCTTAGCCTACCACCTTATTACCATAGTAAAGGCTGTCTGGGTCAAACCTTGTTTGTTTTAGTAACCATGATACATTTTGTGGCTGATTATGACAAGAATTTCTAATCACCAGAAAAAACACATTTACTGATGCTGAGAGATCCTAAAAGATAAAAAACTTTCTTTCATTTGGCCCAGGACTATAACCTTGTCTGTCTCCACATGCCACTGCCACTCAGCCAGCATAATTACATAGGATAAATACATCCTCCCACTCACACAGGTTACTCTCAACTGACAACCATAAATGTTGGTTACGTTGTATTTTTCTGCACTTGGTCCAAACTTGATATAGTTTCCAAATGCTAGAGATTTTCCACTTCACTGGTGCACTTGAATCATATTGAACTCAATATTGTGCATGGATACAGTTAGAATTCCCTTTTGAGCTTTCATAATTCCATTGCAGCTACTCTTATCTTTGTATGTTTAATGCAGGGACATTTCCTCATTTCAAAGTCTAAATCCTGTACATTGTGTAACATAGGAAAGAGGAGTAAATACCAGTGGACAGGATAAGATTAACTGAAAAATCAAGGATGGATCTCACTGCTAAAACACATTGAGACATGTTCTAATTTATTGGTTGGTCAATAGACCCAACTGTTTCTATGCAGGATATGTTATTAGTCTTTTATGGTTTTTTAAGTTCACTTTAGCAGTCAAATTGCATAAAAGGGTAATTTTGTTCAAAGCGGGGTTTCTTAAAACAAACCATTTCTTTTTAAAAATGGAGGTGAAGTTTAACATTTCTTTCAGTACAAACAGTAAGAATTTCACAAGCCTCTTCCTGTTGTAAGTTACCTTTACAAAGCCATAATAACAGTTTCAGAAATGCCTCTTTGATGCATCTATTCAGGTAGTGTGCTGTTCATCATTGGTCCATCATCGTACAATAGTTTGCATTGTCGACTAATACCAACATCTCTGAGCAGCACTGGGCAGACAGTATTGATATAAATCATAGAATCGATGATTATTATTATGAATAGTAAATTAAAATAAAACCTGAAAGAAATCAACATTTTGTATTACTGGTGAGTTTTTACCTTTATGCATGGATGACTAACAAAATCCTGAACATGACTTAGAAGCAACCCATGAATAAAGACATAACTTTGTATATTGTGTGAGTAAATTGAAACTATGATATTATGGGTATTCTTAAATTCCAATCAAATTGACTTGATGGCACAAGTTTTTTCCTTTGGTCACCCTTCATCTCAAGATCAAAGCTGACATAGACTGTAAAAAAGTCAGGAAAGATCTAGCCTGTCTCCATAGTTCCTGAACTGCATTATTTTTGTATTCCGTCTATGCCTTCTGCAATGATAAAGACCTAATTTAAGCAAGTCTAGATTTACTTAGTTTCCAGGAATCTCCCATCTCACTGAGCCCTTTTCAGTTTAAAAGGATTTGTTTGATTCTATCAAAATTATATATATTCAGAGACTAATTGCTAGTCTTGGATGGTCCTGTTAGACATGGAAATCCTATCCAATCCAGTTTATGCCTGGTAAGTTAATTTTATTTTACAATGGTTTCTGAATATGAAACATTGTAAATTCATAATTTATGTATGTTGTTAGGGTGATAACTAAATCATGTAGAATTTTAAATACTTTATCAGTTCAGAAGAAAAAATATTATTTCTTAAGCTCAGTTTTGAATTTAAGTTCATAATCATTTTGAGAATAATATTGTTAACATTTTAATGTTACATAATACAGACAACTATGAACAGGACCAAGACACGTTGAGCTTGGCAGAGGAGAAATGTGACCTTCAAATTGCAGAATCCGAGGGGGAGTCTCAGGCATTCCAAAGGGAGGAAGGGGTAGGTTATGTGATCCAGAGATCAATACCTTCATGTTAGTAGATTTAAGTTGTGAATACCAATTTTACAGCTTTGTTAAATTTATTTCTACCTTAACTAGGGATGTCGCGATACATAAGTTTCATGAATCGATACATATCACGATACTCATGACATGATTCGATATGTATCATGATACCTATTTTCGCTGCATTATTGTGTAAAATTAGTTACATTTTGAACATTAAATATTTTATATTTTTATAAGAGTCCTTGAAAAGATCAACATTTTCTATTCTCAGAGATTAAAAAGTTCTAATTTCCCATCTTTGTGTATGAAAAATAATCATTTATAACTCTCATAACATAAAAAAACATGATACAATTGCAAAATGTGAACGATACATATTAAAACATGTTTAAATCAATACTTTCAAAACAAATAATGATAGAGTTTTGAATGCATCAATGATTGTATCGTCTTAGAAAAAGTATCGATGTATCGTGGCATTCCTAACCTAAACATTGTTCTGGCCTACCTTTAGAATTCAGCACCACAAACTTGCAATACCCGATGAAGTAATGCCTCATGAATCTTTGCAATTTGTTTAATCCTTCTCAATATTAGTACAGTTATCTTGAATGGTAGTGTGCCGATCAGTACCGAGTGCAGCAATACATGTTTTAGGTATTATCTCAATACAGGATCTTTTACTATTTATAAAAGTATCAAGAAATTCAAAATGGCCAATAAGAGATTAATTGTTAGACATGGAATAGCCTTATATACAGATAGTCTGTCTTTGATGACATATATGAAAAATTTAAAGAAAAACTGTATATACTCTCATAACAAGCAGTTCCAGACAAGTATTGTGGTTCTGATCATGGAAAACTTTACAGAAAATGTAGAAATTTTGAAAATTGGCAGAATTTGCTCTTTTCACATATCAATAGGGTAATTTTCAACATTTTTAAGCTTTTCTATTGACTTTTGCACTTGATTGATGTCCAAACATTTGCAATTCAAAATTTATCCCTGCAATAATCATGTCTTTTTATAATAGAGATATCATTTTCACTTTTAGGTTACTATGTATTCATATCTTACCACAGTTTCATAGAGAGCTGATGCGTGTCGTGTTTCGTAGTGCACACAATTCAGAAAAAGATTGGCATTTTCAATACAGAGTATACAAATTAACATATTCCCTACATTTTGTTGTTTGTCTGTTGTCAACAATTCAATCTTCCATCGGATAATCAGGTGTATTAAAGTTCTGACACCATTATGTTCATATCACTTGGGCCGGTTAGGGGTGGGGATGGGTGGGTTCTCAATTAAATTTGTTTTACATAATTGTATCAGGTGTTTAAATGGGTTGTTATCAAATGATTCATGTAATTGTTGATACATTTGCATTAATGTTTTGGTGTCCTTCATACACAGGAAATTCAGCAAATGAGAACTGAAGACACCTCTATTCCATGTCAGCAGATACATTTTCTTTGTTTATCTTTTCAGGATTCAGATGTAGTATCTGTGAGAAAGTACTGAAATGTAAAGGTGGATATACTGTTCATCAGCAGATGACTTGAAGTCAAAAGGTACCACCAGTTTTTAGTAGTGTCTTTCTAGATATCAAGATAAGTGAACACCAATAACATATCATATCATTATACAAGGTCAAGAATGTGTTTATCTCGACCGCTTTATAATATCCCTGGCAGGTCATTAGTAAATCAATCAAGCTAAATTCCATTGTATGCAACTAGGATGTGTTGTCTAAAGGTCTGTGTTGATGATGAATAGGATGTATCTTGTTGACCATCGGGCAACTTCTATATATATATATATATGTATTAATATTCAGCAGAATGTTGGGTAACACATCATATCTGTTATAATCACAGCCCATTGGGCAACACATCCCATCTATTATTTTTACGTACCTTTGGGCAACACATCCAATCTGTTATTTTTACAGACCATTGGGCAACACATATATATTCACATCAGACCTTATCAGAGGACCTTTGGGCAACATCATATCTGTTATCAGCAGACCTTTGGGCAACACATCATATATTTTCAATAGACCTGTGGGCAACACATCTTTATCATATAATCAGTAGACCTTAGGGCAACACATCTTATATATCAACAGTAGACCTGTGTGCAACACATCATATATATCACCAGTAGACCTTAGGGCAACACATCCTATATATCACCAGTAGACCTTAAGTCAACACATCATATATATCACCAGTAGACCTTAGGGCAACACATCTTATATATCACCAGTAGACCTTAGGGCAACACATCATATATATCACCAGTAGACCTTAGGGCAACACATCTTATATATCACCAGTAGACCTTAGGGCAACACATCATATATATCACCAGTAGACCTTAGGGCAACACATCTTATATATCACCAGTAGACCTTAGGGCAACACATCATATATATCACCAGTAGACCTTAGGGCAACACATCATTATATATCACCAGTAGACCTTAGGGCAACACATCTTATATATCACCAGTAGACCTTAGGGCAACACATCATATATATCACCAGTAGACCTTAGGGCAACACATCATATATATCACCAGTAGACCTTAGGGCAACACATCTTATATATCACCAGTAGACCTTAGGGCAACACATCTTATATATCACCAGTAGACCTTAGGGCAACACATCATATATATCACCAGTAGACCTTAGGGCAACACATCATATATATCACCAGTAGACCTTAGGGCAACACATCTTATATATCACCAGTAGACCTTAGGGCAACACATCTTATATATCACCAGTAGACCTTAGGGCAACACATCTTATATATCACCAGTAGACCTTAGGGCAACACATCTTATATATCACCAGTAGACCTTAGGGCAACACATCTTATATATCACCAGTAGACCTTAGGGCAACACATCTTATATATCACCAGTAGACCTTAGGGCAACACATCTTATATATCACCAGTAGACCTTAGGGCAACACATCTTATATATCACCAGTAGACCTTAGGGCAACACATCTTATATATCACCAGTAGACCTTAGGGCAACACATCTTATATATCACCAGTAGACCTTAGGGCAACACATCTTATATATCACCAGTAGACCTTAGGGCAACACATCATATATATTACCAGTAGACCTTAGGGCAACACATCTTATATATCACCAGTAGACCTTAGGGCAACACATCTTATATATCACCAGTAGACCTGAGGGCAACACATCATATTTATTACCAGTAGACCATAGGGCAATGCATCTTATATATCACCCATAGACCTGAGGGCAACACATCATACATATTACCAGTAGACCGTAGGGCAAAACATCTTATATATCACCAGTAGACCTTAGGGCAATGCATCTTATATATCACCAGGAGACCTTAGGGCAACGCATCTTATATATCACCAGTAGACCTTAGGGCAACACATCTTATATATCACCAGTAGACCTTAGGGCAACACATCGTATATATCAACAGTAGACCTGTGTGCAACACATCATATATATCACCAGTAGACTTTTGGTCAACACATCTTATATATCACCAGTAGACCTGTAGGCAACACATCTTATATATCACCAGTAGACCTTAGGGCAACACATCCTATATATCACCAGTAGACCTTAGGGCAACACATCTTATATATTACCAGTAGACCTTAGGGCAACACATCATATATATCACCAGTAGACCTTAGGGCAACACATCTTATATATCACCAGTAGACCTTAGGGCAACACATCTTATATATCACCAGTAGACCTTAGGGCAACGCATCTTATATATCACCAGTAGACCTTAGGGCAACACATCTTATATATCACCAGTAGACCTTAGGGCAACACATCTTATATATCACCAGTAGACCTTAGGGCAACACATCTTATTTATCACCAGTAGACCTTAGGGCAACACATCTTATATATCACCAGTAGACCTTAGGGCAACACATCTTATATATCACCAGTAGACCTTAGGGCAACACATCATACATCATCAGTAGACCTTAGGGCAACACATCTTATATATCACCAGTAGACCTTAGGGCAACACATCTTATATATCACCAGTAGACCTTAGGGCAACACATCTTATATATCACCAGTAGACCTTAGGGCAACACATCTTATATATCACCAGTAGACCTTAGGGCAACACATCTTATATATCACCAGTAGACCTTAGGGCAACACATCTTATATATCACCAGTAGACCTTAGGGCAACACATCTTATATATCACCAGTAGACCTTAGGGCAACACATCTTATATATCACCAGTAGACCTTAGGGCAACACATCATCTTATATATCACCAGTAGACCTTAGGGCAACACATCTTATATATCACCAGTAGACCTTAGGGCAACACATCATATATATCACCAGTAGACCTTAGGGCAACACATCTTATATATCACCAGTAGACCTTAGGGCAACACATCTTATATATCACCAGTAGACCTTAGGGCAACACATCTTATATATCACCAGTAGACCTTAGGGCAACACATCTTATATATCACCAGTAGACCTTAGGGCAACACATTATACAGTCAGTAGACCTGTGGTCAACACATCTTATATATCGCCAGTAGACCTTAGGGCAACACATCTTATGTATCACCAGTAGACCTTAGGGCAACACATCTTATATATCACCAGTAGACCTTAGGGCAACGCATCTTATATATCACCAGTAGACCTTAGGGCAATGCATCTTATATATCACCCATAGACCTGAGGGCAACACATCAGATATATTACCAGTAGACCTTAGGCAACACATGATATATATCACCAGTAGACCTTAGGGCAAGACATCATACAATCAGTAGACCTGTGGTCAACACATCTTATATGTCCCTAGTAGACCTAAGGGCAACTGATCTTATATATCACCAGTAGACCTTAGGGCAATGCATCTTATATATCACCCATAGACCTGAGGGCAACACATCATACAATCAGTAGACCTGTGGGCAACACATCATATGTATTATCAGTACACCATTGGGTTACACATTAGGGGTGTCACGATACACCAATCTCACGATACGATACGTATCACGATTTTAAGGTCACGATACGATACGTGACGCGATACATAATTTTCGCCTTTTCATAGCATTACCTTACCGGCAACGTACACGCTCGCTGATTGGTCCATCAAAATAGTCTAGCCAATCACAAAAGCTGTTAGTTTCCAACCTATTTTTTAAGTAAAGCTAGCTACATCTATTTATCGGAGCGATCTCGTATAATTTTACTATCAAGACTTTGAAGGAGATGGATATAGCATAAAAAATTTGAATCGATAAAGTTTTAAAATAGGAATCGATACACGCAAGCATGTATCGCGTATCGTATCGTCAGTAAAATGTATCGATGCATCGATACATTCGCGTATCGCGACACCCCTATTACACATCATATATAGTGTATATACCAAACTCTCTGTAGTTCACTTGACTACAGTCGAATGTAATGAAACTGTGTATCCCTAAAGAGGCTGTTTCACTAATCAGTTTGTAATCTAGTTATATCATATGGATAAGTTGGGTTTGGTTGTCACACTGTGCACTCAGCTGTAGTACTGTGCACTGAGCTGTAGTATTAAATCATACATACTAAAGGGTTAAGATTTCTTCCTTGCAGTCTGTATTGACTGATGTCAGTTATGATTCAACACTTCAAATGATATGTGTCACCTAGATAGATAAAAATTACAAAATGACAAATCATGTTTGTATTCTACAGTGTCAGTACATACTGTATGTTTTCTAGATTTGTGGGTTTCATTGAGTAGTCAATGCCAAAATTGTTTACATTTCAAACCTCAAGCTAAACTTATGTGCTCTAAATGTAATTTCTGTTTATCAAATACACAACAAAACTCTCAAATCTGAAAACATACCATGTCTTTTTTCTAACTAGATAACTAACCCTTAGCCTTTAGCACTGCTAGAACTTGGCTGACATACTGCTGACATATGTAATCAACTGGTTCCAATTGCATCATGCATGACATGTAGGAGATTTGGAGAAAAATCTCTGAGCCAATTGTATGCAGAATTTTATGAAGTTTGGTTTAGAAGTTAAGTGAATCAGATATGTTCCTTTTTTTTACATATTTTCAGTTCGGACCTTTGTTATACAAAAACCTAATGCTGCCATTTTTGTCAATCAAAATGTTGTTTTAATTAAAATGTCTTTTTTGTTCAATTACTTTCTTGTTGCTTTGATTATTTTATCATTGCCGTAATAATTTCTCTGAGTATATACCAAAACATGTGTATGTTGCTGCATATTAATATCGTCAATGTTTTGTTTCATCATTATTTCACTTGTTTGATAAACACTAAGCAATAAAGTTAACCAGTATCTATCTGGACATCCTCCCACCTTTCCCTTTCTCTGTGGTATTCAGTCTGTATCTGCTTAATGAAGCTTTACTACTACTAGGGTTGATGGGCGGAGGGGTAGCCTAGTGGTTTAAGCGTTCGCTTGTCATAGCTAAAAACTAAACTCACTCACTACTAGTGCTGACCCTCATTTCACTCATAGACAGTGGCAGTCACTCCCATTCAATTTTCAGCCATGTTACCAGATTAAAGTTTCCTGAATACTCAAGGCTTCATCTTTATAGAACTATTTCTATTCTACGTTATAGCAAACTTAATTTAATGACTATAGATTGTTATATTGTATATTGCATTGATTAGAAACTAACATATACTACTCACACTTTGCTAAGGATCACAAAAATTCCCAACTATACTTACACATAGATTTATAATTTGAAATTGTATACATTTAAAACTGGATAAATAATAATATAGTAACCCTTCTTTAGGCAAACAGCTACTTTTGTCTAACCTTATGCACTTGATACATGAGTAACCATAAAATGGTTTTAATGGCACCAATCAACCATTTTGCAAATCATGGAACGAGTCATTTACAAACAAACAACACCTGTCAATAGCAGGTATGGGATCCACAAGATGAAATGACATACTGAAACCTAGGATCCATGCTTACAATAAGCTTAGATATTTAAACCAAATTTGATCCCACATTATAGTTTTCTGTTGAATCAATGATTTAATTCATAGCAAAGCGTGAATAGTATATTTAGGCCACAAGTCCTCATAATGATAACAAATTAGCTAAATCTTAAAATGGCAAATGTTTACTTGTCCTAATAAAACCTTAAGTTGGGGAGTTGGGTAAAGACTATAGGACTAGAAGCTGAGTGATGATACTCACTGTACCTTGATGTTTTAACATACTTTTGAAAACTTTGTTATATTTCAGAAACGGAGACCATTCAGTCATTTCTACAGATTTCCAAGCACGAATGCTCTTATGTTCAGCTGAGAACAAAAATGATGAACAAGCAGAAAATACAGCAGCAAAGGACAAGGAAGAGATGGCACACATTTTAAGAATGAAATTAACTTAATAAATATTCAGATCATTTCTAAGGGATGTTACATTTGGGAATTCACTTTCCCAGTATAGTACAGATACTAGTACTTTGCTGGTAGAGGGTGGAGTGAATCCCTTGTGTGATTTGAACCCACCCTCTAAGAGTGAAACACCTTATCACAGAACAACATTGTCAGCAATTTAACCTGACAAATGTTAGTCAAGGTCTCGATCAGAGAAGTGTAAATGCCACAATTACAAGTTTTTGCAAAGTTATGCAAATAAGAATGTCAAAACTATTTGGTTTAATAAATAGTAATTATTAAACTTACAATTTTTCTTGTTCCTATCATTGGTTCGCACTGGGGTGGAATGTGGCTCCATTTTCCATGGTGGAGTCTCCGCTGATTTGGAAAAAATAGGGCGTGGGGTGGTAGCACTTGCGGATCTAGTGCGGTGATGGGCTGTGTTTAGATGGTATTCAGACCAGACATCAGGCAAATATCAGTGTAAGAGCCCAAGTTTATTCAGGAGTCGTCCAGTATGCCTCAGTGTATGATAAGAAAACGGGAATAGTCCCGACTGGCTCAAAATGGGCTGTGGTTAGGTGGTATTTAGACCAGACATTTGGCAAATATCAGTGTGTCGGAGCCCCAGTTTATTCAGGAGTCGTCTGGTATGCCTCAATGTACGACAAGAGAACGAGAATAGTCCCGACTGGCTCACAATGGGCTCTGTTTAGATGGTAGTCAGACCAGACATCAGGCAAATATCAGTGTCGGAGCCCTAGTTTATTCAGGAGTCGTCTGGTATGCCTAAGTGTATGATGGGAGAACCGGAATACTCCCGACTGGCTCAAAATGGGCTGTATTTAGATGGTATTCAGACCAGACATCAGGCAAATATCCGTGTCGGAGCCCCAGTTTATTCAGGAGTCGTCTGGTATGCCTCAGTGTATGATAAGAGAACGAGAATAGTCCCGACTGGCTCACAATGGGCTGTGTTTAGATGGTAGTCAGACCAGACATCAGGCAAATATCAGTGTCGGAGCCCTAGTTTATTCAGGAGTCGTCTGGTATGCCTAAGTGTATGATAGGAGAACCGGAATACTCCCGACTGGCTCAAAATGGGCTGTATTTAGATGGTATTCAGACCAGACATCAGGCAAATATCCGTGTCGGAGCCCCAGTTTATTCAGGAGTCGTCTGGTATGCCTCAGTGTATGATAAGAATACTGGAATAGTCCTGAATGGCTCAAAATGGGCTGCGTTTAAATGGTATTCAGACCAGACATCAGGCAAATATCAGTGTCGGAGCCCTAGTTTATTCAGGAGTCGTCTGGTATGCCTCAGTGTATGATAAAGAATACGGGAATAGTCCCGACTGGCTCAAAATGGGCTGTGTTTAAATGGTATTCAGACCAGACAATTAGGCAAATATCAGTGTCGGAGCCCCAGTTTATTCAGTAGTCGTCTGGTATGCCTCAGTGTATGATAAGAAAACGAGAATAGTCCCGACTGGCTCAAAATGGGCTGTGTTTAGATGGTATTCAGACCAGACAACAGGCAAATATCCGTGTCGGAGCCCCAGTTTATTCAGGAGTCGTCTGGTATGCCTCAGTGTATGATAAGAATACGGGAATAGTCCTGACTGGCTCAAAATGGGCTGTGTTTAAATGGTATTCAGACCAGACATTTGGCAAATATCAGTGTCGGAGCCCCAGTTTATTCAGGAGTCGTCTGGTATGCCTCAGTGTATGATAAGAATACGGGAATAGTCCCGACTGGCTCAAAATGGGCTGTGTTTAGATGGTATTCAGACCAGACATCAGGCAAATATCAGTGTCGGAGCCCCAGTTTATTCAGGAGTCGTCTGGTATGCCTCAGTGTATGATAAGAATACGGGAATAGTCCCGACTGGCTCAAAATGGGCTGTGTTTAGATGGTATTCAGACCAGACATCAGGCAAATATCAGTGTCGGAGCCCCAGTTTATTCAGGAGTCGTCTGGTATGCCTCAGTGTATGATAAGAATACGGGAATAGTCCCGACTGGCTCAAAATAGGCTGTGTTTAAATGGTATTCAGACCAGACAACAGGCAAATATCAGTGTCGGAGCCCCCATGCAGTTTATTCAGGAGTCGTCTGGTATGCCTCAGTGTATGATAAGAATACGGGAATAATCCCGACTGGCTCAAAATGGGCTGTGTTTAAATGGTTTTCAGACCAGACATTTGGAAAATCATCAGTGTCGGAGCCCCAGTTTATTCAGGAGTCGTCTGGTTTGCCTCAGTGTATGATAAGAGAACGAGAATAGTCCCGACTGGCTCAAAATGGGCTGTGGTTAGATGGTATGCAACCTTTGCTCATCTCTTCATTGTGATCAGTCATTAGAATTAGTTTCAACAAATCCATATTTGATGACGAAAGTTAATGATGTTGTTACTTTATCTCGTTAAAAAAGACGTTTTTCATATCTGGACTTTGCAATCCAGTTTATTAATTTTACTCAAAAGGTAAAAAAAAAGAATGTTTATATCAACTGCAGTTATATCCTGTGTCTCCCCGATGTTTTAACTTCGGTCCGCATTAGTCGCAACAATCACTATCATTTTACATCTACTCACGCCTCGAATTGAAGTGTATTTGGCAGGAAATGGATACGTACATTGTATACATATTTGTTTTCGCTAAAAGTAATATTTCTTGCAGTTGGACTATTACATGTCAACGAAGTGTTTTCGCGGTGGAATAAGCGAGATCGCGCGAAACCTCATCGGTGACAGGTCAAATTGTTCCTTGCATAAATCCTATCCAGCAAAACACCATAGTGCGTGCTCTCGCATAACCTCAGTTATGATTATAGATATTTTACATTTATAGAGCAAAGCCTGCAATTAAAACGAAACAATATATTTCTTATGGAAACACAAAAATAATTTCAGATACTAGATTTTTTTCGATCACTCCATTAGAATTCATTGGGTGGTAATATTGGATAAATTTTCACTAAATCACCGGTAGATCACGGGGAAAAGTGTACACAGCTGATTACCATTTCCGACGGTGTATACGAGGCAAATGCACACGCTAATCCTAATCCCTACACATAATACAATGCCTAGCAAAACCAAATTAGAACTAAAAAGATAAATAAAATTGTCTAATAATTTTTAATTGAAAATTTGACGTCTTTACTGACAAAATCGTCTTCGTTCACGGGAATCGATACGATGTCGTTTTCTTACCACCCCCACCCCACCCCCTCTATTTCCTATAGAGGTTTTCAGTGTTTGAGTATGGGAATATTTGATATTTAGTTGTTGGTTAATCTTAACATATCCTTAAAACTTAATCCTTAGCAAACCTCGAATGGTAAACAACGGACACTAATTAATATGAAGCAAGGGCACATCGGCGCTTGAGTGGGAAACAATAATTGCAAGTTATGCCAAATGATAAATGTCTGTTACAGCATAATATTTTTAGAAATATTACAAGTAATCATAATCTCAGTATTAATTCTAACTAGCCTGATTTGTTTGACTGCATCATATTTGAGAAAATTAAGCACAAAACTATGAATTGATTGTACGTGCGATGTTAAAGATCGGAAACAAGAAAGTCAGTTTCATGCACACAGATATGAAATATAATTTCCTCGGCGCGCAAGACATAAACAACCAAAGGGCGACATATATATCAAATAAGCAGCCATGGAAATGTATACACGTATATAGTATTAAACAGCAACCATTGGGCGACATATATATATGTATATTACATAAGCGACCATTGGGCGACATATATATACGACCTTTGGGCGACAGTCGCCTAAAGGTCGCATATAAACATGTACGCCGTACACTTTACCTTTGGGCGACACGGTATGGGCGACATCAAAAATATATTCTCTGTTTGTATATATGTACAAGGTTTTATCCCCTTTTAATGTTTAATTATCAAATTAAAGTGTATATAACCGAAGAAATATAAAAAAATCAATGTACGTTTGTAATATATGGCAATGTCGCCCAAAGGTCGCAGCTTATAGTACTGTCGCCCAAAGGTCGGATTTGCCCTTATATATATATATATATATATATATATATATCCTTTACCTTTATGAACTACAATGTCATCAAGGTTGTGCAATTGCAGGAACGTGTTTTAGAACGTAAATTTTTGCAGCTCATGATGTGAATTGCGCTACTTAGAGGTTGCAAGGAGTCATACAACAACGAACAACCAGTACCTCAGGTCGTCACAGGTGACATGTCTATCATTCATTGACAATAACAATCTTCGTCAGTTATTATTTCCCCAAATACCGTGACCAGAATCCTAGTACCAATAACCACTATCACTGGTATCATCACTATCTGGTACAACATGTACCCATGATATAGTCAGAAATGTATAGTAGACCTACTTTTAGCAGGAAATAAAGAAATAAAACAACTGCAATATTTACCCATAGAGAAGGGATAAATTCCTCTTTCTTCAGATATTTCCCTTCATCATCTAGGAATCGTTCAGGTCTGAAGTTTTGGGGATCACCCCACACGGCTGGATCTTGTAGAACCGAGTCCAAATTTGGCAGGACAGTCACGCCCTTGGGAAACGTGTAGCCCTGAAACTGGATGTCGTAAGGCTGTAGTGTGGAGCTGCAAGTGGAACTATGTCTGTGCATCTCATTATCTCACTGATGGTGGCTTCGACGTAGGGAAGACTAATCTTGTCCTTCATGGTGGGAAGTCTGCTTTGCCCGATGTTGTCCTGTATCTCCCTGAAACACTTGTCCTGAACATCGGGGTTGTGGAGGAAGTAAAGGAGAGTCCAGCGGATGGTGGTGGCAGTGGTATCGGTTCCGCCTATGAATAAATCTCTGATAGTTTTCTGCAGGTGAAGTCCTGAAAGAACAATGAAACATAATAAGGGACGAGCAATACAAGCATACAGCAGGTACCCAGTTGATAGTGTTTGAACAGGCATAACATTGAGTCATCATTGGTCTACTGCGGGGTTATATAATTGGTTGCTGTGTAAAATGTGCGGTCGGGCTAGACACCTGTTTGCCCCACTCATTGATAATGCAGTTCTATAACAAATGTGTTGCTGGGTTTTTGGGAGTTTCACCACGCCTGAAACGACACGTTTTCAGACCATATAACTGGTGTGTCATTATGGGTGGTAGCTCGAATGCAAAACATTAACCTGTGTGGAAGAAGAAGCCAAACAATATATTTGCCAATTTTACTTTAAAGCTCAACCTGCTATCAAACCTGTTGTTGCTTCCACGAAGTCGCATTTCTTTGATGACTTGATTCTGCTTTCTGATCCCTTTGATTTCCATGGTGACACATAAATCTCATCTCTAAGAAATTTATATTCAACCCTAATTGTTAATGTACTGTCATAAAATCATGGATTATTCTGTTATAGAAATGGTAACTTGTCAACTTACTATCAAATGTGTCGTCGCTTCCACGAAGTTTCATTTCCTTGATGTAAGCTGTGATGAAATCGTCCACATTGTCTTCATCGTAACTCTTCAAGTGTTCCTCAATATCCTTTTCAATTTCACCTTTCTCAGTTGTTTCCATACTCTGCATCATTTTTAAAATTGAAAAAATCCCTGGGATAAACCTTACAATTGGATATAAATTCAGTGTATTTGCTCCCCCGAGTAGGTCCAAAATATTCTCTGTAGCTTTTAAGAATTTGACAAACCGTGGATCATCATACTCAAACTGCTTCCCCAACAAAACAGCACAAATGATGTTAGACACGGCGTTGTGCACGAGTCGTTTGCAGTCGAAAACATGTCCACCCTTTTCCTCGAGTGCTTTAAGGAAGACCGACAACTCATTGTGTATTTTGGTCTCCAGAAGGGACTTCCCCATCCCAAAATCTCTTAGTGTTGTTAATGCAAATTTTCTTTGTACTTTCCAGTGGGCGCCTGAGGTCCCTGCTATACCTGAAATGGTGAAAGGCGGAGAGAATAGTTTCCTTTAAAAAATCATAAAACTTCTTGAATCACGAGTGCAGTTTTGGTGTGTAATGTCTCTCTTTTGTTAAGGTGAATAAATTGCCGTGACAAAAGGTTTAAGAGTCCCCTTTGAACCAGCAGAATATAACACAGACAAGTCTAAAATATTCAATAATATATTGAGCAAACAATGAGCAAGCTACAATGAATCACAATACAGATTTCTAGTACAATGCAATTGAATCACAAATTTAAAGTATTGGGTCACAAATATAAGATATCAACTCACCACGAGCCTTGACATTTACAGTGAGAGCAGATATTCTAATTTAAGGTTGTTTACAATGAGGTTGAATAAGGCAGGCAGTGTCTGTCTGGAACGAAGCACAGACCATGTTGACGAACGCAGACAACGACGGTAGGCAGATGACGGCAGACAGATGTACACAACTCCAGTGATATGATAAGTCCATGTGTTAGTCCGTGTGTGATTCCGTCGCACAACACAACAACCAACCTTTATATAGCTCTTACACAGTTTTCGGGCATTCTAGTAAAGATAGGCTGCATCTTTAACCACTCAGAATGTTATCGAAATTCGTCGAACATACGACCGGGAGTCAAAACAAATAGTTGTACAAAAGATTGCCCCAAGGGAGCAACACTGAAGCGCTATCAAAAAAGGCGTACCACTAAAAATACTATTGCCATTGAACATACATGACGCAAGGTGTGAGCCGCAACCCACACTCAAAACTTTAAACATGGTGACCCAAAAATAACTATCACCTGAGCAATAATTTTACAAATTACACCTGTATGTAGTACAATAATCCCCTCGCACAAAAGATCCCCATTTAAAAATCAGGAATGTTGACATATCGTTGAACGTAAAATAGAAGTGTTTCCGTGGTATATGATTTGGAGTGAGGGCAATAGTTCTGTGTTTATGTTTTTCTTAGAGGCGATGTGCACGCTTTCTTGATTCTGCATTGCAAAATCCCATGTGAACACTTTAACAGAGGGTGTGTAGAGCGTTTATTACGGTATGCCTTACAATTCCAACATATTGCCCTACCGATCCAATCTTAAATATTTCAGGTCGCGATTACGTCGAGGGTAAAAAACATCCTCATGCTGAAATGTCGTACTAGGGGTTGTAGCCTTTATTGCAAAACATACTGCCTATAGTTTCAGCCCTATATCACGAGGACGTTAGATGCCCTGAAGGATATGGTTCAGTTTAATACTTATTAACTGACAATGATTTCACTCAACCTTCCTTATGTCTTACAATTGGTCTTCACCAATCAGTGCTTGTCTTAAGAAGACACCAACGGTCAAGCTCCATGACATGGTTGATACATGTAATTGTATCCAAATTCCAAATCGATGCCCACGTTGGCAGGCACGTGGTTAATGGGTTCATACTCGATTATTTATCATAAATACTGCTGAGAGCAGCGCTATACAACAAACGAACGAAGAAACAAAATACCTCGGGAGACAAATAAACTGTAGCATAAATATACCATAATTTATCATACCTTTGCCTTGAGCAAAATAATCAGTTC